GGAAATATATTCATCTTTATGCAAATTCAGAAACTAAAGGCTACCTAGTAATAATGGGAACAATATAGTGAGGTGTAGGATCACACAAATTCATTGGATTAAATATTTAATTTTCAAATACTCTTGGATAAAAACCAAATAACATATGTATATCTAAAGACTAGAGTCAGTAAGGCATAATTTGGAATTTCACATTAATTGAACTTGAGGACATAAGAAGCCATTAAAGATAAGATGAAAATATCGAGATAGAACATGGAAACAAGGGCTACAGGACAAAATAGACTTTGATATGATAAGAGCCTAGAAACCCAACAGTTGATTCTGCCAAAGAGTGGTCTCTATCAAGGACACTGGCAGATACATGAGCCATGTAGACTGGCTAGGAGGATTGAGATCCATAATTAAAGGAAAGGAAGGCAGAGACTCCATAGTTCAGAGACCTGAAGACACTTGATAAGCTGAATAGATAATCCATAGGCCAGCAAGTGACAGTGGCTGAACCCAAAACCCAGAGATCAGCATAGGCTGAATGACAGGGACTGCTAATAGAGCAGCTTCTGTGGTAGAAGCTGGGCCTCTGGCAGGGGCTTGACATCACACACAACCTCTGGCAGCTGGTGGTACAGCCCCTGTGCAGACATGATTTCAACTGGTGGTACTGGGAGAGCAGCTGGTAATGCCAGGTTGTTGCGGGCAAGAACAGCCTTAGGAGGAACCTGAGAAGGACAGGTAGTGCGTATGGGAAGAGGAGGTGACGTTTCCAAAGCAACAATTACAGGCCGTGTTGAAATTTGAACTCAGTTGAAATTAACTGAAAATGTTCTGAATTTTAAGGCCACCCTGTGGATAGGGATGTATACTCTCAGAAATGGGTGTGGTGTCGACCTTTTTCATCCTTTCCTTATTTGTGTGCTTCCTGGTTTACAAATGTGCAACTTAACAATCTCTGTAACTGAAGTTGCGTTTGAATTATTTTCTGCACAGTGTATTTGTGTGTGTTGTAACTTTCTTAATATAGATGACACGATAACTTCTATACTAACACTTATTTCATCATGTCCAAGAAATCCTCCCTTTCCTCTTGACATTGGTCCTAGTGTGTTGCTACAATGTTCTGAGGAACACACCTGTCTTGCTTGATATAGAATGAGAACAATCTCCTTACTTCTTTACTGAAGTTGAGGAGTGTTACTCTGTTTCCTAAGAAAACTACTAAAGACTATGATTCTCAATGTGATTCCTCATTTTCTACTAATTTTTCTATGTGATTATAGAGCATTATCATGATGTTTTACCTGCAGTAGCAAAAGGCACAAACTAACCCAAGGAAAACTGAACACTTTGACCCTATGTGGAGAGAGGAACAGAGGCAACGGAGTTGACTGTGTCTTCTCATAATCCTCTTCAGGGAGCATCTAGAGGAGAGAAAAATGTAGGATAAATGAATGTCAAATCTTGTTTATAATGTTTTGTGAATAAAACCAATTGTCAGATATAGAGAATTAAGATGGATATTTTCTCTTGAGCATGTCAAGATTTGGCAATAAAATTAATTTAGCTGTGTAATATTTTGTCAGAACTAGTTGTTGAATTTTAAAGAGTATGCTTAACCTACATCTGAATGTCCTCTCTGCACACATAGCAGTGTATATTCTAAAAGAGAGAAAATTAATATGAGACAGCTGATTTCAAGATGATCACTTACTGTTATCAAATTAAAAGACATGTTGATGTACAGATTTGATGGGAAACTTTTTATTTGTTTTAACTCAAATGTTGAAATAATATTTTACCATTATTCCTATAGGGAAAAACAACAAAAAATAGTATCATGTGATTAATCTAATTATAAATTTAAAGTCAATGAAACACGCCTTCAATAACAATGATGCCACAAAAAGGGATAAAGGCAGTGATTGACAAACTAAGGAACACTATACCTGTCAATATGGTTTACCTATACATATTTTATATTTATTGATTTCCACTCTAAATGGTAAAATAATTTAAATTGTTTGAGAATGATACTTATTCCAGCATTTACCATAGTCACAAATACATTTTTATAGGATTCTTAATTTATATTTGTCAGCTTCAAATACTGGCAGTTAGACAAAAGCCAGAATTCTTCAGGAAGCTGGTCCCCTATACCAAAGGAGCCATTTCCTTATCACTGGCATTAGGGACACATGCCTGTCTGTCATGGTTATTAGCTTCCCAAAGCGCATGCTGGTGTCAACTCCCTCACTATTACAAGAACCTGTTCCACATTTCAGAGTCCGTGCTGACACTCTGACTCTTCTCCCTGCCCCTATCCTAAGCTTCTCAAGCTCAGGGGCCTCCCTTCCCCAGGTTCACACTCCTTTATAACCCTCTCACTATCAGTTCTGTGCTTTCTTTCCCCTTCTTTCATGGCCATCTCTTTCTCTTCCCCTCTCACTCTCCCTGCCTCTCTTCCCTCTTGTGGCCAAGTTCAATATTCAGTCAATTTTCTCTCCATGTTCTGGACTTTTCCAGATGCCTCTGACTGTTTTCTCTCCCTCTCTCTCTCTCTCTCTCTCTCTCTCTCTGATGTATACATCAGAGACTTTTCCAGATGCCTCTGACTGTTTTCTCTCCCTCTCTCTCTCTCTCTCTCTGATGTATACATAGACATTAAAAACTTTCTGCTCAACAATACCTTGGCATTGTCATCCTCGCTTATACAATATTATTGACTACGCTACCATCCTTTGTCAAGATTGTGAACTTTATTACCAATTTTACAGGAACAATAAAGGTTTGTAAAGCATTATTTGGACAGTCTGGGTCAGATTAAGAAATAAAACTACTTGAATTAGTTATGCATTTGAAAGATTTCATAAATCTTGCCTGAAATTAGTTATATTCTTCCCTTAGTGATACTTTTTTCTGCTTTTTGTAAGAACGACACATACTAGTTTCTCAAAACTTTGCTTTAGGTGCAGGTGAAAGCTCCGAGCTGAGGCATCTTTTCATCTGCTGGGGCCGATGATCACTTTCTAAAGACAACTCATTTTATTTCACCTCTGATAAACTATATTGCCATACAGAGAATGAACTATAGCTGTGTTTAGTAGACAATAAGTAGAAATAGATGTCTCAGAGCTGTGTAAGTACAGAATATGCAAGTGGAAATAAGTATATACACAAATAAAATGATTTCTTCATTAACCCTACCTAATGTCCTCAAGGGGGAAAAACACCTGAATTATCTGTTATTCACCAAAATCAGATTCCATTTTAAACACTGTAATTATGATTTGATATATTCAGATATTGTTTTATTTTGTTTTGTTTTTCCAGACAGGGTTTTTCTACAGTTTTGGAGCCTGTCTTGGAACTAGCTCTTGTAGACCAGGATAACCTCGAAATCACAGAGATCTGTTTGCTTCTGCCTCCCAAGTGCTGGGATTAAAGGCGTGCGCCACCACCACCTGGCCAGACTTTTTTCATGTTTTTTTTTTTTTTTTCGTCTCCAAAATCCACGATTTCATGGATGGGAATCATACAACCTTAGGCCACATGTCAGACATTCCAGGATCTGGAATCGAAGTATCTTTCTTTCTTCTTTGTATTCTTCTCTCATACAGCAAATTCTGACCACAGCCTCCTCTCCCATCTCCCAGGCCCCTAACTCCCCTCTCCCCTTGATCCACTGCTCCCACATTTTCCCTTCAGAAAAGAGCAGCCTCACAGTTATATGAACTGAACACAGCCTAACAAGATGCCATAAGACCAGGCATAAGTCCTCAAAGACAACCCAGTAAGAGGAAAAGGGTCCCAAGAAAAGGAAAAGAATTAGAAAAACATACAGTTCCACTATTAGGAGTTCCATAAAAACCCCAAGCTAAACAACCACAACATAAATGCAGAGGACCTGCCTATCGTGGACACATGCAGACTTCATGATTGCACCTTCAGTATCTGTGATCCTCTATGAGCCCTGGTTAGTTGATTCTGTGGACTGTGTTCTCCTGGTTTCCTTGATCCTTCCGGATCCACCTCTTCTCTGAAGTTCCCCAGCTCTGCCTAATGTTTGGTTCAGGATCTCTGTAACTGTTTCTATCATTTGCTGGAGAAAGCCTCTCTGATGACAACTGGGCTAGGCTTTGAACTACAGTATAACAAAATATCTCTAGGAATCACTTCATTGACTTTTGTTTTTTTAAGTCATGTTTAGTTCTACCCTAGGTGTCTGAGCCATCTAGTGTTCACATTGTGTGCATTTATTGGCTGTCCAGGCACTGTCAGACACGATTGTGTCTCGTGGCGTGGGCCTTAAGTTAGACCAGTAACTGGTTGGCCACATCTAGAAGTTCTGAGCCATACAGCAAACTGAATGAAACCTATCTCATTTAAGGCTCAAACTTATTACATTGTCTGTTTGCTATTGAAGGTGAACCATGTGCCAATACTCTGTGTCCCCCATACATAATTACAAAAAAAAGAAGAAAAGATGAAGACAAGTATGGTCAATCTTCAGTACATTTCACTCAAAACCCAAGCAATGCTTCAAATCTCTTAACAACAAGAAAGGAAGATTATTGTTATTTTATACAATAAAAGACAAACATATTTCCTATAAGACCTCCCTCATATATATGATATATATCATATATTCATATTTCATATATTTATATATGAAAAGAAGGGATTCTCCTAGTGTGATTGGATAAGCTTTGGTGTAAAACAGTCATGACATTTCTGAGATAGGAGCAGCTCATTGCCTTTCCGTATTTTAAGGAAATTACAACATCTCTAAATATATGGTACAGGAAAGTATTTAAGAGTAATTGAAATTAGAGAATTACAGAAAGATTACACCATTCTTACTTAATAAAAGAGAGGGCAAAAAAAATGAGCAAGGCTGAGCCTGGTACCACACCCTTTGCTGATATTATTTAAACCCATCATTGTGACGAAAACCTTCAGAATCCTCTCAGGTACATCCAGCTGAGCTCACATCTCCTCTCAACATGGCCTACAGTTGCTGCTCTGGAGCCTTCTCCTCCTGCTCCCTTAGGCGCTGTCTGCCCTCTTCAGGTTCTTCCTACCCCAGCAACCTGGTCTACACCACTACCAGTTGCTCTCCCAGCCCCTGCCAGGTGGGATCCTCTCTGAACACCGGCTGTCAGGAGACCTGCATTGGGCCCACCAGCTGCCAGAGGTCCTGCGTGGTGTCCAGACCCTGCCAGGTGGAATCTTCTCTGAACACTGGCTGTCAGGAGACCCGTATGGAGCCCATCAGTTGCCAGAGGTCCTGCGTGGTGTCCAGGCCCTGCCATATGCCCTGCTACTACCCGAAGAGCTCCACACTTTGCAATCCCTGCCAGGGAACGTCTGCTGGGTCTCTGGGCTTATGGTGCAGCAGCTGCCAATCCCTGGGCTGTGGATCTAGAAGCTGCTACTCAGGGGGCTGTGGATCCAGTGGCTTTAGATCTATGGCTTACAGACTCTATGACTTCCCTTCCCTGAGTGATGGGTCCAAAATCTATTACCCAACCTACTTGGCTGCTAGTTCCTGCCACTCTTTTTGTTAGACATTTTGGTTTTGCTTTTAAGGATTCAACTGTTAATTCTCACATCTTCACAGTATCAATGTCAATGTCTCCAAGCTTGTAGCTATTGTTTCCCTGCTTACCACACTGGTACTTTTCATCTTTTCATTGACAAACCTCTACATCTTCAATATTCTGATATTTTGCTTAACTGCAATTTGTGTCTTGCTCTTTGTTCTATGCCTATATACATGTGCTGTTTGCATTTCATTAATGAGCAATTAAAAATTAAAAAAAGTCTAATAAATGTGTGCATTCTGATGCCTCCATATTTGGTCCACGTTATTATTTTTAAAGATTATTTTCATTTATTCTTTTGAAGAAACTTAACTAAAGGTCAAAATAATTACTCAGATGGATTTGAGAACATACAATTTTTCTTTTGTCACCTTAGTTATAGGTGACATTCAGTTCTAGAAAGATTGCCATATGTATCTGAAGACTGGGTTAATCAGCAGTAAGGTGAGAAATGCTTGATATTGAAGCATCAATTTTCTTTTTTTGCTGGACCATAGAAACAAAGTAATTAGGACATGACTAAAATGTAAACGTCAAGAGTGAGATGTTGTATAATTCATAATATAAGGGCTCTATGTGTACAGAATTATCTACAATTAGTCTTTGAGTATAGATGTTTAGTCAAGAGAGAGCTGAGCCTTGAACAACTTTAAAGCCAAACACTTCCTGGCTTCATGTGCACGCTGACTTCCCTGCGTCCCTCATCTGGGTGTTATCCATGCCTTTCCAATGTACATGAGAAGTAGGAAAGAGCTTTGTGTTATTATTCTTAGTCAGAGTCACAAAGCACGGGAGAACTCAGAAGCTCAGTCATAACTTATTTGGCAAGTATTTTAGAAATCTAGCCTTGTCTACTGTCTAAGATGCCCAAAAGAAGACCAAGAAGGAAAATTCTGCTAAAAAATAGTGATGAGGAAGTGTTTTCTGGAGTTGCATTTATAAGGTGAAATTGATATTCTAAATCCCAGGGACTGTCAGGGACATTTAGGTCACTCACGGAATTGTGGACCTCTGATTCTTACCCCCAGGGGACAGCTTTATCTTTTAGTGATTGATGGTATGTGACAACCTGTATTCTCCTAATTTTATGAATGAAGACTAACAGGAGGGATTATTGTCTGTTGATTTAATGTAACTTTTAAGATATTCAACTACTTAGCAAAAGAATATATTATATATATATACATATACAAAATATGTATTATTTTATATTTATAATACGCACATATTTACATGTACTATATATAAATTATCTGTAATATATATGCATATATATTTATATTGAGGGGGAGAGAAAGAGAGCAAAGGTAGTTTATTCAAGGTGTTGAAACTTCCAAAATCAAAATATCATGTGTTCTGTTGTAATCCTGACACGGGTCAAGGGGTCATCCATGTCAGCATGCTGCATGGAACACAATAATATTGACAGAGAATATCAATGAAATGCTAGCAAATATGAGAGAGACAAAGTATTTTGACCATTTTAAGCTTTAAGGATCCCCGCAAAGTGTTTGAACCTTTGCAATGTTTATAGATAAAATAATCACAGATGCTGAATTCTTAAAGGAATTTCCACACTTTGTTCTTTCCTGAATCACTTAATTTAAAACATTGAGCTCCTAGTTCAATCAAGGGATCATCACAGCCCTGCCTTTCTGGACACTGTTTCACATGAACAGGTTTAACCTATTCCTCTATCATTAGCCTCACAGGAGAGACTCAAAATAAAGAATAAAAATAAGTATATTTACGCAAAGAGTTAAAAGGGAATAATCTAACTCATTTCAAATATATTTTATTAACTATTACACTAAATGATAGATTAATAGAAAAATATTTGATGACATCCTAGGAAGAAATCTCCTTTTTTCTCATTTTTTATTAGTTCTTAAAAATTTCATGCAATATATTTTCACCATATTCAACCCTCAACCTTCTCCAGGTCCCACTCCCTACCCATTCTACTTTGCGATTTACCCCTATATATTTTACTAATCTGTTAAGTTCAATTTTTGCTGTCTGTGAATCCTTAGATGCAAGGCCTTTCACTGGAGAGTGGTTGATGTATTGACGACTAACCATTTAAAGAAGACTGACACCCTCTTTCCTAGCAGCTGGCAGTTGTTAATAGCTCCTAAGAAAGGGGTGATGCTTCATGCCCACTCCTCTGCTCCACACAGTGATTTGCCTGGCTAGAGCTTTCACAAGCACTGAGTGTGTGATCACAACATTCTGAGTTCATATGTGCAAAAGCCTGTTTTGTTTGTAAGTCCATTTTCTTGTTGTTCCACTGCTTCTGGCTCTTCCTGCCATTCTGCACTCTCTTCCAGAATGACCCCTGAGATTTGGCATAAGATGGAATGACAAAGATGTCTCTGCTGTAAACAGATGCTTCTCTGATGAGGGTTGAAACATACATTCATGTATGGGTATATAGCCATTCATTAGTAGTCTTTTTATCCTTTGCTCATTTAGCAGAATGCAAGTTGTAGGTTTTCCATGAAGGTCTTCCTCAAGGGGCTAGATGTGAATGCTCCACACTACCAAACACAGATGAGACCTGTTTCCTCCTCGGACCTCAGGGAAGACACTCTAATACCAATACATGTTTTATGCTCTCATATTTTATGTGGCTCACACTTTAATTGTATTTATTTATTTGTTGTTTCTTTTTAGTTAACATTTTATGCAATATTTTTGATCAATTTTTCTCCTTTAATAATCACCCCTAGGTCCTCCTCCATCTACATATCCACATACCTTCATATCCTCTCTATCTCTTCCTCTGTGTGTATAGAAGTATACGTGTGTGTATGTGCATGCATGTTTGTCTGTCTCTCTCAAACAAGTGAACAAAAACACCAAAACTAAAAATAACAACAACAAAAAAATGCCAAAGTGGAACAAAATGAAATCAAAAGCCCACAGAAAATCATGGAATTGGTTTTGTGTTGGCTTACTATGGCCTATATACTATGTACACGGATCCTGCCCTGGACTGCAGTTTATATAACTAATAATGTTCCATTGAAGAAAGGTGATTTTCCCTTTGCCAGTGGTTACCAATTATAAACAGATTCTTAGGGGTGGGAGCCTTTGCCTATTTCTTCCTCGCAATGATGAGAACCTGTCTAGTTGGGACCTGCGTAGGTCTTATGGGTTCCACATTCTCTATGAACTCATATGTGTCTATCCTCTTGTTTCTGAAGATGATGTTTCCTTACACCTATCTGACTCTCACAATTTTCCACCTCATTTTCTGAATGGATTCCTAAGCCTTGAATTTTTATAATGGTCCAAAATATCAGTATGTGTGAGGCTATCTTAGTTTTGTCCTTTACCATCAAAGGAATTTAACCATTACCTTGTTTTCTTATTATGTTCATTATTATTTATTTTATCTTGGATTATAGTGTTCCCTTGCTACTAGAAGGTAAAACACATAGTTAATTATGTGTAGTTAATTTCAGAATAATTATGAAAAATTGCGATGGAGGCACATATGGATAATCTTTGGTGGGTTTCAAATGAAACCCTAAGCAATGTGTACAGTTTATTAATAAATGGAAAAAGTACACTACTTTCATTCTACGCAATGAAACACAAGTATGTATTCCTCATAACATTCTATGACAACACATACAAAAATATATGTCAAGAGGAAAACGAGGGATGTCCCAGACATGACAAAGGAAGCATTAACGTAAAACATCCATGGCAATTCTGACATCTGTGGCTCATTGCCTTCTGCTATAACAAGGAAATTGCAAAATCCATAAGTATACAGCACAGAAAACTATGCAAATATAACTGTAATTACAAAGAGATTCTTGAACTGTACCTTCCGAAAGGAGGAAGCTTGTAGCTGTGTGGAAGGTGACCCTGTTGGGTACCACCACACCTGTTTCTGAGAGTATATAAACCCAGCTGTCCACAGGATGACATTCAAACTCAGAGTCCTCTCAGGGACATCCAGCTGAGCTCACATCTCCTCTCACCATGGCCTGCAGTTGCTGCTCTGGAAACTTCTCCTCCCGCTCCTTTAGGTGCTGCCTGCCCTCCTCAGGATCCTCCTGCGGCTCTTCCTACCCCAGCCACCTGGTCTACACCCCTGATGGCTGCTCTCCCAGCCCCTTTCAACTGGAAACATCTCTGAACAGTGACTGTCAGGAGACCTGCATTGAGCCCACCAGCAGTCAGAGGTTCTGTGATGTTCAGCCCTTTCCTGTTGCCCTGCTATTACCCCAGGAGCTCCACTTCTTGAATACCCTGCCAGGGGACAAATACTGTATCTCTGGACTTTTAGCCTGGCAGTTACTATTTTCTAGGCAATAGATCTAGAAGCTTCTTCTTGGGGGCCTCAGACCACTGAATTATGAAGTGCCTGACTTCCCTCCTGTGAGTTATGGAATCACATTCTGCTGCCCAGCCTACTAAGCTCTTATCAACTTTTTTGTCAAAGGCAAACCTGTTTATCAGGCCTCTATGATTCAGCCATTAAGTCAAATACATTCTCACAGAATGCATGCCAGTCTGTATGTCCTGTAGCCACTGTTTTGATGCTTATTCTCAAGTACTATCTTTCCATTCTTCCATTAAAAATTTCTCCATTTTCAATTTTGGGCAGATTCTTGGAATTGAAAGATTAAAAATAAATTTATTTTACTCTCTAGACTAGTGATATGTACATGTGATTTTTTTTATTTTTTTCCAAGAGTTGTTGAAAATAAAATTTTGATCTAAGAAATTTCTGTAATCTGATACCTCAATATATTTCCCACTTTACTATTTTTATGGGTTTTGTGAGATTCAGTTAATTACCATATGATTATGCAACTGTATTTGGGAATATATATTTCTGTATTTGTTTATGTTTCTTAGTAGGAATATTCAGGTCTAGGATTATTTCCCTTTGAATCAGCAGGTTGAGCTCAATGGAATCAGAATTGCCCGAGATTCTAACA